ACATCGTAATTGAAAAGAGAGGCCATACTGAGCGGCTGGCCCTGAACCGAAATTGTCACCACTAAGCCGAATTGACGTGAATTGGCTTGGCGGCGTGATTTCGACTAACTGGTCAAAATAACTATGACATATATGGTATATACTATATGGTGTGTGTGGGCGTGCTGGTCGTCCGTGTGATAGTGGTGTGTGTGTGTGTGGGCTGTGGGTGTGTGGTGTTGGTGTGTGTGATGTTGTGTGCGCGGTGCGGTCGTACTGCGTGCCGTGCTCCACCGCTGTCCTCGCCACGCGCTGTAAGAAAGAGAGAGAAAGAGAGGAGACGACAGAAAGAGAGGAAAGGACGAGGAGCAAAGAGAAGAGGAGAGAGCGCGAGAGCACACAGAGCAGCAGACGAGACGAGCCGAAGAACGTTACGAGAGAGAGCAGAGAGTAGAGAGCGAAAGATGAGCATGAGCAACGGGAGAGAGAGAGAGAGGGGGGGGAGAGTGTGTGTTCTCGCGTGTATGTAAAGAAATAAGCAGAACAGTCTAGTTGTCGGTAGCGAAGATTTATTGTGTGACAACGTTTCGTACAGTTGACACGGGGATTGCCAGCAATCAACAGCCAATCTCGAAGTAATAAACCCACAGAATGACGCACTACTCGACCTTATTTGATTGATTACCTCCTTTCAGTACCGGCGCTCTCAACTCTAGATTTCCTCTGCATCACCGCCGCATCCTCTCAATTACTTTAACCATGCTCCCGTTCATCGTAGACCAAGTATTTCGCTTCATGCGGCCGCAAAGAGGAACGCTCTCTCCGCAAACCTCACTCACCGCAATCTATACGAGCACACTAGAATATACGGAAATACAACGACCGTATAATAGAACTGCCAAGCCAGAGCCAAAAAATGTTATTGTGTCAGCCTAAAAGAGCTTGCTGCCTGCCCATCGAATAAACGTACATTGGCAATAGCTTTACATAACATTTACAATTGGGTGCCGTTTCTAAGTAAATTTATTCGTTTAATGTAGAGTTTGGAATATTTTTCATTAAATCGAGCTGGTTCTTGTCCGTGAAACAGGTTTTAGTGTTAACGATAATGGGGAAATAAATACAATCCAATGACAACAAGCTAAGTGCATCGTTGTTTGCATTTATGATTATATTTTGCTTAGTTTTACTTAAACGAACTTGGAAATTAAAACTGTAACAGGGGTATCTTCTATAAGCCTAAATGACTAGAACCATATAACCATAAAAAATGTTACGAGATTGTCTTATGTGTAACTTGCATTAACCAATCATAGTAACCAATGCTGCGCACGCCATTAAAATAACAAAAGCGCATGCAATCGCATCAACCATATCGCACGCGAGTAGCTTTTAAATTATGTTTTTTTATTTATTCGTATTAATTCTGTACATTAATATATTGGTAGGTCTATCTATCGCAAATAACCCCTACTTGAAAGCCCACAAAAATTCCTATTTAAGTTTGGCTGACATGTATACAGTTTACACTAAGAGCAGACGGAGAAAATAAAGAGACGAGCGAAGGACTAGTGACTGCAGAACGGCGACATATTGTAAGCGTTAAATATTTACAATTACATTATGAATTACGTCATGTAAAACGGAAATGTGTAGAAAGCGTTGTTTCAGGGCTGTTTCTCGGTATGTGTGTGCTTCCAAAAGCTTATAGACAAATGGTAATGCAGTCATACCCGAGCTAGACATACGTCATGTTTCCTACAATTATAGAATTACGACGGTTAAACATATCATTATGTTTTCCGTAACACAGGATCACCTTATTTCATACGAATACGTTAATTATGTTATTAATACCCTATTCACACCAGGGCCCCGATCTCAATACGCTCGTACTACGCTCTAAGAGCGTGGTGGAAACGTGTAGAACACAGTATAAACGTATATGACCGTACTGCGATCGCGATCGAGCGCGGTGCAGTCACCATGAGCGTGGAGAGCGTGGCCAAACTTTGCACATGTTCAAAACAATCGGGGTGCGAGCGTGGCGAAAAGACAGCACAGTGCGGGCGTATTAGAGACGTGGAAGGCGTAGTACCCACGTAACTCGAGCGTAATACGAACTTAATGATCGTATCGCAAGCGTGTCGGGGGCGTGAAAATTGTCGCCCCGTTCTCAGCACGATGTCAATACGTTTTCATCACGCTGTTACTACGTCTATGGAGATGTCTCTGCGACCTGACCACGCTCTCGCTATAAACATGGTGCGTCTCTAGCAAGCTCGACCCGTTCGTACTACGATTGTACTACGCCCAACACGCTCAGACTACGCCGTTGTGGCGTTCGCATTACGTGTTAGTTATGTTGTACTCCTATTTAGCCTATTCTGGGGGGAATAGCTCGCTGGATGATGCCCGTTGAACGGTCCTTAAAATCAATCTAGAATCGACAGCGGTGTGAGGTGACGAATGGTTACGTTTGCGTGGACCCCGCTTATATACTGCGCAGTCAAAACCGGATTAACTGATTTGGCAGGAATTAAACTAGATTTCTTGGCGTGAGACAGCAAGCGATGCTGGTGCGGCCGGTCGACGTCACCGCGCGTCGCGTCACCTATTCTCAGTTCTTGCTGATTTCGTTACGCATCGTGTCACCTGGCCGTCCAGCTTGTCATCGTTATTGTCCCAACGCTCAAGAGGCCCGTCACCATTTGTGACCGCTTGTCACCGCTGTTGTCCTGAACGCTATAAGCGTCACCTCAATACTTGGTCACCGCTTGTCGATTCTATAGTGGCGCCAAGGTGCGACGTGCTTGGCGTCGCATCTTGTCGCCCCCGTTTGTCAATACAATAATACTCTTGACCCCTTTTGAAAAATTCATGTTCTCATGAAAACGTACTTCAAACTAAAAACGATATATCATACTATGTTCCAATAATACCGCCACCTATATAGCAAAAAGAACACACACAAAACTGGGTACATAATTGTTTATACCGTGCATTATGATTATACATCCATGAACGGTGATACAAACAAACAGTCAGTCCCACTGCAATCATACCGCCAAAGCCAACGTGTACCTAGCCGCGTTATGACAATCCTGGATAGATTCGTGGGGCGGAAGGCTCCATTGTCATTCCAGGCGCGATGTACCTCACATGTGCACCGTGCTCGCATGTGAGGTGGGCGGAGAAGGCGGTCTTCAAGATACCGATCGTCTTGGGGTAAAAGGGGATAGGAAAGGATGATGGAACCCTACACTTTTGACCTGTAAGGTCCGAGATCACTGCAAAATCGGGCATCTCGACTTGTAGCCGGGCCGAAAAGAAGTGAAAACTGGGTTGCAAATTTTCAATAGCCGTCGGGGGCGTTATATGCCAGAAGCGATCACACATGTGTAGATCTAGTACTGGGAGGGAGATGCACAAAGGACCATTTGATAAGTGTAGCATTATGCGAGTGCCTTGTCGTCGGCGAGCGCAGCACTGTTATACAAAGCTAACTAGAAAAACCAATGTAATGGCCTGCAGAGCCAGCACCATATGTTCTCCTTCCAAAACCACTCCCGAACTTTAAAGGGATTCGTCTATAGGTTGTGATTTGACGAATGAGAAAGACTTAGCCGGGAATGGTGCAGCCTTCGCCGTGCTAATCATGGTAAATAGAGCGGCGCGCAGCAACCTGAGTTTATAGAGTGTCCAGCCCGTCATTAAACATGCTAATGCAGCTAGTGTTATTTAAGGCGATATATGCTAAACCTTGCCGTAGTAAGGTTACTGGCGAGTCAATGTCTATTACCCCCTGCAATAACGGTTCCGTTAGCGATTGGTAGACAACTTGGTCACGCTTAAGAGCTTGCGACACTCGCTTTAGACTCAGATCAGATACGCTTGCCGATCTTGGGCAATGAAATTAGAAAACGAGTGATTGAACAAGCGTAGTGCTGGTAGAGTAATGTCGGTCGGTACCATAAAGGTTGAGCTAGCTGAGATATTTTGCAATTCTTCCGTTATCGAAAAACTGCTGCAGAGTGCTAGGTTTAGTGGATGCGAAACAGATAAAATGGTGTCATTACCTGTACATGTCTCAGTCAGACGAGGTGGTAATGTAAATTCATGAGCAATTAGCGCACACTGACAAGGAATGTTTGAAATTATACAAAAGTTACAGCCCATGCGTGCTTGCTGTGAACCGGGGCAGTGTAGCGACCATTTGTCAATGCCTGACATAAGAACAGATTGCGCCGTCAAGGTATAGAAGTAGGTCGAGGTTGCGATGTTAGAGAACCGAAATCACACTCATCTTTTATCATTGGGGAGTCATCCAGAAACAATGCTAGCTCACACGACGCAGCGGTAGTAGCCCGTATAAGCGGTGAAAAAGGACAAATTAGCGTTTGTTCCTGTGAGCACTGCTCAAACTCGCGACCCGTTAGTAGCGTGTAATGTTGTTTAGCCAAGGAAACCAACAAGAACTCGGATACTTCCATAAGCTGGGTGGCGTGCCGCGCTGATCTGTTAGTGGGCACAGGAAACGAATGAATCCTGTACGCCTCGAATGGCTCTGTCGTGGCGTCAATGGAAGGTGCATAGACAGAAACAGAGCGTTATCATGATAAGTGCAGTGAAATTTTAAGGCTTTAGAGTAAACGTGTGTGTGTGGGTAAATAAGCCTAAAACGCGAGTATTGATTCTGCAGTTTGTTTTCTATGTGTTGTGTGATTTGTGCTAGAGTGGACGGCGGAAGCAATAGCGGGGATACCCGGCCGTTTACTAATAAACTGACTCCTGCCTAAGATTGTATACTTCGTGGTGAAATTCATTCAAATGCATTTGATGTTCTTGTGAGCGCTCAAGTAGTGATTGCACAAATTCTTCTTCTGCCTGAAACTGCAACTCAGTCTCATTATATAACGCAGCGATCATATGATTATTATCCGTGATGGCTCGCATCGCGTTATCCATGCGGTGGTTAGTGGTAGCTATATATGATGCTAGCTGGTTATTATGATCCTCAATCACTTTGCTTGTCTTACTCTTATGTGAGCGATTAATGAATTGACATGTGTGGCAACGCGCTGTAAGTCCGCTGGCGTTGCAGTGCCAAACAATAAACTTGATATGTCACCAATAAAAGGTAGCAGAGAGCGCGAGCGCCGTCTGTGTTGCTCCCTGGGCTTAGGAATGATTTCCGTGACCCATGATTGTAGTGTGTGTACCGTATTAGTGACGTCCTTTCGTAAGACAACTTCCCTCAGCGCCATGGCCCTAAGCGCTGAACACTTGGCCGATGCATCAGCGCATACGAAGGGTTGAACTCTCGGTGCTGTCGAAGGTAGCTGAATACGCACTGTGTGTAGCCAACTATCCGGGCTAAAATGCAGTTCTCCCTTAGCCTCCATTATGATGCCGTAGTTCACGCAAAAGATCAAGTCTTCCGAAGCCATGCCAACAGGTGCGATCGTGCCTAGTACGAGTACTATCCAGGCTAAAATACTCCGGAAATTCCAGGGATCTGAAAGTAGTAACGGAAGGAAAATTAGGGATTGCTGCAGCTGTCTGGTGAAAATGTGGCCACATTTCCGTATCACAGGGGGGGGGGGTTAACAGACTGCATCGGTACGAACAAGGTATGGAAGGCATGAAAGGGACTCTGGAATCATAAGCTCGGGCGGATCGACCGTACAGACAATATTCAGAATTTAGTTCTCTAACAGAGCAGTGAACGTTTACGCCGTTTCCCTGTATTCGTCTTCCTAGTGTGGAACTCGCGACGTAACGACTCGGGAATGTTTTCCACTGGTTCCCATGAATAGGGCTGCTGGGGGCAATGAAGCCATTTAACTCTATAATGCTTCATGCCATTGATACTTTTACAGGCTACTAGCTTATCAACGGCATAGTAATCAGCCTGTGACGAGGGACGCGTCTGCGTGCCTGCCGCCGGTGTAGAGGCATCATCCTGAATGGAGATGCTAGATCCGTGTTATGCGAGAGACTGGAGGGAGCATGTGGGACAGGTAGCTGTACATGCATAGGGTCCTCCTTAGGATCGCGAAACGGTCGCAGCCGGTTCGCATGGATCATTGAACTTTGCGGTTTATCCGTCTCGCATTCTCTCAGTCGGTACGTGTGATTGGGTCCCAATTGTGAGATATAGAAGGGACCCCTCAATTTTCTCTGGAGTTTAGCCGACTTACCGACGGGTACTCTGGGATCATATAGCAAGACCTTGTGTCCAACCTCGAATGGCGGGACACGTGATTTCCGGTTGTAATAGGCTTTGCTCTGAGCCTTAGCTAGTTCGACGTTCTTAGTCGCTATTGTTTTCGCCATTTTCAACCGTTCTATGAGATTATCTATGTGAGTCTTCACATCCTTCGCGAGTGATTCTCGGGGTAAAAGCTGCGTGTCAAGCGGTAATGACATCTCCTTATCAAAGAGCAGATAGAAGGGGCTGTAACCCGTGGAGTTCACAGAGGGCGACATACGAAACGCCATCATCAAACAAGGAAGTATCTACTGCCAGTTTGACTGTTCGTCATTTACATAACACCGTAGTGTCTGTGCAATAACGCTGTTAACTCTCTCGACAGGCGAATTACTCTGTGGATGGTATGATGACGTGTAGTAACGTTTAATGTCCAGGAGCTCACATAAAGCAGATATAAGCTTGCCCATGAAGTTGCGACCGCGGTCGCTAGTGAGAGCTTTGGGCGCGCCGTAGCGTGTGATAACTTCGCTGAATAGAACCCTGGCAATTTCTGACGCCTCCTGTGTTTTCAGCGGAAATGCTTCACTCCAGCGTGAGAAGCTGTCGACAATTAACAGAATGTATTTATACTTGTCAGGTGTTTCTGTGAGTGGCCCCAGTATGTCAATGTGAAAGTGCGAGAGTGTATCCGCTATGGGAAGCGATGTCAATGGTGCGGGACGAGCGTTTGTGGGACGCTTCGCACGTTGACATTCACCACACGAGCGTATATATTTGTCGATCTCACGATACGTCTTCGGCCAGTAATACTTTTGTCTGATTGCTGCAAATGTTTTAGTGTGCCCCAAGTGACACCCGCCTGCACGTGAATCATGGTAGGACAGCAATACATCCTGTCTGAGTACCATGGGTAAGACTATTTGCCGAATCATAGGTGCCTGTGGCACCCTACCTTTTGAACGCACCCTTGGCTGGAAGAGATGGTGCAGCACCCCGTCTCGATCTAAAACATACTGACTGCTCTCAACCACTAGTTTTCTGGCTGCTGTCATATCTTCAGGCAAGGTTCCATCCCTCAGATATATGTACATTGTGCGGCAATCTGGATCGTGTAGCTACATGTGTGCTATATCGTGTGTGCTGGATTCATCTGCAAGCGCGGGCGCGGCAGTGACTACGTGTACCGCAGGCAGCGTTGGGTTATCTTTGTATCTGTGTATGAGATGTGCTGTTGTGTGTGATTCTGCGGTGTAGGCCGCTGAGAGATCAGGAGCTGCTACAACGCTAACACTTGCTTTGTCATTACGAGAGAGGTACGGAATGGCTTCCTCAGGATCATCAGGTTCCTGACTAAGAGGCGGATACTCAATACGCGAGAGCGTGTCAGCATTCTGATTCTTGACTCCTGGGCGATATAGGATCTTGAAATCGTACTGCTGTAAGCGAAGAGACCAGCGAGCCAAGCGTCCATGATCATGTTTGGTCTTCATGAACCAGACCAGTGCACGATGATCGGTGAAGACTCTGAACCGAGCATGCGACAGATAAACACAGATAACTCCTTGCACGCCTCCAAGACACTTAGGCATTCCTGTTCTGTTACTGACCAGCGCTGTTTAGCTGGAGAGAGAGACCTGCCACCGTAAGCTACGACTGTCTCGCGACCTTTGTCGTCTGTCTGCAACCAAGAGTCGAGTATCTGGGTCACATATTTACTACAGATGGCGCGCAAGTTGATCCTAAGAAGACTGAAGCCATACGATCTATCCCATCGCCCAGAAACATCAAAGAACTGCGCAGCTTCATAGGGGTTTGCAATTTTTACAGAAAATTCGTGTTGGGTTTTAGTCAGCTAGCAGCACCACTTTTTGCCCTGTTGAAGAAAGATGTTAAGTTCTGTTGGGATGAGTCATGTCAGGCAGCCTTTCAAGTGCTTAAAGATAAGCTTACCTCTGCGCCGATCCTAGCTTTTCCCGACATGACACGCCCATTCTTTATCTCAACGGATGCCTCGGGCACGGGAATTGGATATGTCCTAGGTCCCAAGCAACAATGCATAAGGTGTTACGTGACCTCCAGGGCAAAAATCTCCAGATTTACATTGATGATTTCCTGGTATACTCTGAGACGTTTGAAGAGCACTTGACACACCTGCAGAATGTCTTTGACCGCCTTCGTTCTGCAGGCCTTACTTTAAAGCCTTCCAAGTGTCACTTCGCAACGTCATCGGTGCGTTCATGAGACCATATCCTAATCTTTTAAAAGAATACACACCCGAATGACATATAAAGGCAGCCTTCTGCTGTGAGTCCTTATCAAGAGGAATCTGCCAAAATCCAGAAGCCAAATCAAGAGTTGTGAAATATCGTGCTTTCGATTGACCGAGACTGTCAATTATGTCTTGTATACGGGGTATTGGGAAGCTTACTGGCTGTGTGACTGCGTTGAGCTTACGGTAGTCAATAGCAAAGCGATACTCCCCCGACTTCTTTTTCACCATGACCACTGGTGAAGTCCACGCGCTATTGGAAGGCTCAATTATATCATGCGTGAGCATCTCTTCGACCTGGCGATCGAGCTCGGCTTTGACATGAGGCGCGTACCTGTAGGGATATTGTCTTATCGGTTGCTCAGTTGTTGTGCGTATTTTGTGCGCATATTCATCAGTTCTGCCTAATTCGCTGAGATCAGCTGCAAACGCTTGTCTGTTTCTATGTAGAAGATCACTCAACTGTGACTGTTGCTGCTGGGATAAGTGTGTGTCTGTTAGATTGAAATGAATCGGTGCTTGACTAGTGTTTGTATGTCTGTCAGTTGTTGCTCCTCGAAGTTGTGTGCTGTGAACGGTAGATACCGGTGCACTCTGTATGCATTCTAACTGTGCCAGAGCACGCCCTGGCAACAATGTGTACGGTGTATCAGTTGGATTTGCAATCTCTAAAGCAGCATGCTTTTTGGTGCGAGGATAAATCAGAACTGAATTAGCCGTTATTGGATCAGTGTGTTTTAGTAAGGGTTCTAGCAGCGCAACCTGTTTGACAGCTTTCGTGGATACCCGTAGTGGAACGCGAGTGACCGTGTGAGGTTTCAAAACTGTTAGTGCTGTAACTCTAGCTAACGCAATGACGTCATTGCTGCGTAAATTCACGGCCGCTGTGTCATCCCACAAGGACAGCTGACGACGAGAGACATCAATTTTCGCCCGATTCCTGTCTAAGAAATCGTCTCCCAGGATGATTGGGTGGGAAAGCTGCCTGATTACCTGAAAGGTATGATTGACCGACATGTGCGCTATATACACAGGTAGCGACACAGCACCAAGCACCTCGAGTTGCAGTGATCCGACCCCGGAAATATGTTGCAGGTGGGAGGGTTGGAGAGAAGGAAAGCGCGAAGCACGAAAAATTCTGACTAGTGCTTCATGACTGACGCATGAAACGGAGGCTCCCGTGTCGACTAACGCAGGAAACGCAGACCCGTGAACCGAAACGTGAACAGAATTTTTAACGCATGACCGAATAGTTGCCACGTTTGTATCCCTGGTCTGCGTTTGCTGGTGCCCGCCCCCCGCGACAAGGACAGGCGGTTCCCGTCATTGCGAGAAATGCACCCGACGTGCAGTGCGACATTCCGCCGCAACATGGCCGCGCCTATGACAATATGTACACGTTGGCTGATTGGTATAATTGAAACGGGACTCACCAGTGTTGAAATTCGCATCGCGTCGTCTGTAGCTGCCAGGCGTTTGCGTGTTCCCGTGCTGGTCGTAGCGCTGCTGTTGATGCTGACGCGCAGGTGAGTGACGTCGGTGGTTAAAGTTGCGTCTCTGCTGGTGCTGACGTTCAGAGTCGGGCGCGGCGGAAGCAATCTCATGGTGCGAAACAACAAGGTTTTGCACCAGATGGCGCAGGTCGTCGATTTCCTTTCTCAATGAATCCTGCACAGATGCCACCTGTCCGGTGTTGGCCGGCTGTACGAACGGCGTCGTTGTCGCTGGGAGATTGTGTGCCAGCTTCACGAGGACTTCAAGCGATTGCGGATTATGTTGGCGCAAGTAGATCTGATGCGCCTGATTCAAACCATTCAGCGCAATGGCGACCTTATATTGCTCCGGCAGTGCTGGCTCGAACTTGGACTCTAGCCGAATAATATAGTCCTGTACGGACTCACTCGGCTGTTGTACCGCCGTGAGAACACCGAGATCGATCTCCTTCGGCCGTTGAAATCTGGTGACGAACAGTTCCCTTACCGCTGTCATCGTCGTCTTCTTTGCGGCTGGCTGCTTCATAAACCACGCCCGAGCCGGGTCTTGCAAGTGCGTGGGTAGCATTGCGAGCGCCGAGTCCTTGTATATTAGGGCCGCCAAAGTCTCATATGTCGCCATCCAATCGACGACATCTTGGCCGCTTCCTTTAAATTTCTCTATCTGCAGTACCCCAGGCATTGCAATGGTCGAGGTATACCAAGAATCATGCACCTGACCGTCGTTTTGCCTACCTGGCGTAGCGTGCGGAGAGGAGTCAGCGGTCGTCGTGATCTCTCCTGCTGGATTACTGCGTAAATTGTAGGCCGGCTGGTACATAGAGCGAAGAGGTAGCGTTTTGTAGAACGTAGATCCTCCACCAATTGTTGTACTCCGATTTAGCCTATTCTTGGGGGAATAGCTCGCTGGATATGCCCGTTGCACGGTCCTCAAATTCAATCTAGAATCGACAGCGGTGTGAGGTGACAAATATTTATTATGTACAGTATACCATATACATACATGTGAATCATTAATACGTATATGATATTAAGAAGTTAGTCGAAGTGCGTTTCATCGCGTCTACGCACTTCTAACGACGTACGATTTACGCGACAGAATACGTCAAGTAAATCATTCATAAATACAAGTAAGTCTAACTGAGTTTATCTTTGAATGGTACAAACATAACGAGTATAATTTTACTCGAAAGAAATACGTAATCTAAATCATACATTACAATACTAGTCAATTTTACAAATATTGTATTGACAAACGGGGGCGACAAGATGCGACGCCAGGCACGTCGCACCTTGGCGCCACTATAGAATCGACAAGTATTGAGGTGACGCTTATAGCATTCAGGACAACAGCGGTGACAAGCGGTCACAAATGGTGACGGGCCTCTTGAGCGTTGGGACAATAGAGATGACAAGCTGGACGGCTAGGTGACACGGCGCGTAACGAAATCAGCAAGAACTGAGAATAGGTGACGCGACGCGCTGTGACGTTGACCGGCCGCGCCAGCATCGCTTGCTGTCTCACGCCAAGAAATCTAGTTTAATTCCTGCCAAATCAGTTAATCCGGTTTTGACTGCGCAGTATATAAGCCGGGTCCACGCCAACGTAACCATTCGTCACCTCACACCGCTGTCGATTCTAGGTAAATATGTTTGAAATTCTCTTGCGTAAAATCGTACTTGTTATGATACTCTTGACCCCTCTTGAAAATTCATGTCCTCATGAAAACTTACTTTATCGTTTTTAGTTGGTATCATACTATGTTGCAATAATACCGCCACCTATATAGCAAAAGAACACACACAAAACTGGGTACATAATTGTTTATACCGTGCATTATGATTATACATCCACGAACGGTGATACAAACAAACAGTCAGTCCCACTGCAATTATACCACCAAAGCCAACGTGTACCTAGCCGCGTTATGACAATCCTAGATAGATTCGTGGAGCGGAAGGCTCCATTGTCATTCCAGGCGCAATGTACCTCACATGTGCACCGTGCTCGCATGTGAGGTGGGCGGAGAAGGCGGTCTTCAAGATACCGATCGTCTTGGGGTAAAGCCACAAGGGGATAGGAAGGGATGATGGAACCCCACACTTTTGACCTGTAAGGTCCGAGATCACTGCAAACTCGGGCATCTCGACTTGTAGCCGGGCCGAAAGGAAGTGAAAACTGGGTTGCAAATTTTCAATAGCCGTCGGGGGCGTTATATGCCAGAAGCGATCACACATGTGTAGATCTAGTACTGGGAGGGAGATGCACACAGGACCATTTGATAAGTGTAGCATTATGCGAGTGCCTTGTCGTCGGCGTTTGTATAACAGTGCTGCGCTGCTAACTAGGAAAACCAATGTAATGGCCTGCAGAGCCAGCACCATATGTTCTCCTTCCAAAACCACTCCCCCGAACGTGAAAGGGATTCGTCTATAGATTGTGATTTGACGAATGAGAAAGACTTAGCCGGGAATGGTGCAA